AAATTCCAGTGAAATATATTTATGTTTGTGGTTGTAATGTGACAAAATATGGAAAAGTTCAAGGGGTATGAATACTTTTGCAAACCACTGTAAATGATGCTGTTGGACAAACTTCATCGAATTTTCTTTCTGACAAAAACAACAAACAATTCACTGAACTGGGACAGAACCAAACCCAAGGTAATGTGATTTTATAGGCAGGTGGTTTTAGAATAAGTAAAAGTGCAATACTCAAAGGCTCAGGTCATATGAGTGGAAGAATAGGACAATACTTGTGCTTAATGGTTCTGTAATGCTCTCTGGGTTCAAGGGCATTACTCACAAGTTCATTCTTACAATCCATTTCATTACAAGTCAGTCCGGGCTTCTATCTCGTCCACACCGCTAATTGCCTTCTCCCACCTCCCACCGTGGACAAGAAAAGGGAAGCAATTTTAGGCAGCACACAGCAATCAATAGCAATTAGGTGTATCCCTGACTAATCCTGCTGAAACAGGCAGCAGAGGAGCTCTTAAAACACATACACCTAAAAAAAAGTTTTATTTGTTTTCTGTTTCTTCACAAGTGCCAGCATTGTGATGGATAAATTAATTGTTTTGTTTTCCCTTTCCAAACACAATATAGACTTTCCATCAAGCCTTTTTTGGGACCCGCTCTCTGTTTTTGTTCTAACCAGACATTTTCAATTAGATAATGATCTCTTTTTGGTAAACCCATTGACATTATGGAAAGTAATCCCACTCTAAAACGTTTGTTAGATGTTGCGGCACACAACAAATTGATTTCAGCGTGGCACAAAACAAAGCGCCCAGCAGACTACAAACTTGAGCAACAGATGAAAGTGCTTGAAGCGGGTTTGAAGATCGACAGACGCGAGGTTTGTTGCCTCGGCAGTGATGCATAGGCTGTGTCGGGGTGTTGTTGAAGAGGCAGCAAATTACAATCTAATTCAATCTCATTTCAGTCAATCTAACTCCCAACCAAAATCCAGAGCCACAGGCTGCCTCTGCAGGGAGAAGCTGGAAAGTTTAGAGTATTCGACAGCTGCAACTTTACAAACAATTAGTCTGTTAGGGTGGTTTAGACCATTAGGATGAGGTCTTGTTGCCTCCCACGAGGAGGGTTCCTGGTGAGAAAAGCTCAACAAATACAATAAAGGAAAACCAGATAAATGGAGGGATTATATACTATATCTAGCTTGGGAACATCAGCTCCTCAAAAAAAAAAAAAAGAAAAAAAAAGCCGAAAGACATTAATGATGTGAGCGGCGTTTGGACTACCTTCTTACCCTGCAGCTATCGGTGACCTTTGCCTCAGAAGCTGGCAGAGAACTGATGGTATTCTGACCAGCACCCACGAGAAAACTTTACTACGGTTCACCAGCAGGACGTTACAAGGTTGGATCATTTAGTAAGGTCACTTAAAAAAAATTGTCTATTATAAAATATATTAATAGGCAGCTCGAATTAACTACACAATTATTAAATATAAAAAGTTCTATCTRAAATATTTTGAATCAACTACAAATCAAACTTAATTTAGGCTTTGTAAACTCGCTTTTTATCTTTGTTAAAAAATGTTCAATAAATTAGATTAATGCAAATATTTACTAATTTAATCCTACAGAATCTTTCATACAAATGCACACAGGCATTAGGACCTTAAAGG